CTCAAAAGGCCTTTGAGATATCAACATGAAACTTCATAGGTGCATAGATCTAACTCAGGAGGTGTGCAGTGCACAAGATTGATAATTCTACCTTTTATAATTTTTGAGTTATTGTCCTTTGTTATTTTTAGTCCCCTACCGGTTTAACCGGAGGGGACTTTAGGTTTACCCTCCGTCCGTCTGTCTGTCCGTCTGTCAGTCCGTCCACAAAACTGGATCCCGCGATAACGCAAAATGTACTGAAAATATTTTAATGAAACTTGATATATGGATAGATGGCAGTATGGAGATTATGCACGTCTTTTTTTTTTCTTCCTATGTTGAAAATTCTGGTTGCTATGGCAACAAATAGCCTGAAAATATGGCAAATTGAACACGTAAACTGGATCCCGCGATAACGCAAAAAGAACTGAAAATATTTTTATGAAACTTGATATATGGATAGATGGCAGTATGGAGATTATGCACGTTGTTTTTTTTTTCTTCCTATGTGGAAAATTCTGGTGGCTATGGCAACAAATAGCCTGAAAATATGGGCAAATTGAACACATAAACTTGATCCTGCGATAACGCAAAAAGTACTGAAAATATTTTTATGAAACTTGATATATAGATAGATGGCAGTATGGAGATTATGCACGTCTTTTTTTTTCTTCCTATGTGAAAAATTCTGGTTGCTATGGCAACAAATAGCCTGAAAATATGGCAAATTGAACACATAAACTGGATCCCACGATAACGCAAAAAGTACTGAAAATATTTTTATGAAACTTGATATATAGATAGATGGCAGTATGGAGATTATGCACGTCTTTTTTTTTCTTCCTATGTTGAAAATTCTGGTTGCTATGGCAACAAATAGCCTGAATTTCAAGATTTCTGATTTAAATTTTTCAGCTTTTTCACTATAAGTTCTTTATTTCTTAAGGTGTTTACTTCAAACTTTAAATATAAGTTTCTGGTCATCAACCACATCATATGTGACAAGGTTTACAACTCTAGCACAAAAATTATCAGTATTACCTCCCTTGAACTTAGAATTTTTATGAAAAAAATGTTGTCTTTTTTAAATAACTTCTTTATTTCCTAATGTATCTACTTCAAACTTCATATATATGTTTCTTATTATCACTCAACATTTTTGAGAAGGTTAAATACTCTAGCAAGACTATTTCCAGAATTATGTCCCCCTTGAACTTAGATTTTTTTCGAAAAATTGGTATTTTTCACTCCAACTTCTTCATTCATTATAGGATTTACTTTAAAATCCCACATCGTAATAATATGACAAGGTTGTATAAACATAATTTCCTTACTAGGAAGGGAAACTTAACACATTACTGTGATATAGACAAACTTAGAACTCAAAAGATTTAAGTTCATTCATGTCATTCATTCACTGGTAAAATTGACTGGCCAATGGCCCATCAGAAAGTTGCTGGGGTTCTAACCTGTAGGGGACTTATGGATTGCTTGCAATACTATGATAATTGCTTGTTCATACTTAATTTTTCAATTCAATTTTTTTCTCAAAAAGTATTTGAGGTATCAACTTGAAACTTCATAGGTGGATAGATTTTACTGAGGAGGGATGCAGCACACAAGAATGATAACTTACCCTGCATTATTTTTGAGTTATTGCCGTTTGTTATTTTCAGCCATCAGTATTCACATAGGTTTCAAATCTGTAATCACTATAGCCATCAGTTTTCATTACCAAAAGACCTCTTCAAATGGATTTATTCTGCTCTACTACATATACATTCTTCCAATGAGCAAACACATTTGGTGGGGGATGGCCATGTTGACATGGCTCTTGTTCATTTTGGGGGCCCGATTATCACCTTCCGGCCCTACTCTGCTGTGTATTAATCTCTTAATCAGGGTTGCCAGCGGACTTGAAAAGTCAGGGAAATTGGGTATTTTTTCAAGGTCAGGGAATTGTCAGGGAATTTTGAAATTTGGTCAGTGAAAAATGAAAATCCTGAAAAGTCAGTGAAAAGTCAGGGAAAAATTATTTCAAAGGTCGAAAAATATATGCATTGAAGGTCTTTCTTGGCTATGGCAGTCTTTAGGCATTTAACATTTGACTTTATCACTCTCACGGTTAAGCATTAAATTCAAATAACAGTAAACTGTGATATTAAGAAGCATTATATGTTAACTTAGTGATTATAAATCCCATTATTTACCTTAGAACATAATTCAGCCTAAAGACTGAAAGGCTTTGCAACCCTTGCCTCTAGAGCTGACTAATATGTAATTTCTGTTGCATAACTTAACCAGTTTCCATCATGTTTGCAAGACAAATCCTCTTGTACAATATCTTAGTGTCAATGCAAAAAGCAAAGCAGGTTATATGCCAATATGGTAGTTTGGTATACATGTATACTGACTAGATTTTGTTAGTAATTAAAAGCCCTTCTTTGCATTGCTTTGACACTAAGAAATTGTACAAGAGGATTTGTCTTGCAAACATGATGGAAACTGGTTAAATTATGCAATGCTATGTTTTTCACACTAACTTTTTTCACACTTACTTACTTCACTCATTCAAAGTCTTTAATTTTATAGTGATTATTTCATGATATGCCAAAATAAGCCCTATGGTCTTGTTTTCATAACCAGTGGAGTTTATCATGATGCCTTATACAAGTAACTTTGTTAAATGCTTATTGTTCTTATAGTTTAGAGATGTTTGAATTTTAAGTTTTGTCATACAAGTATTACTCTTCTTGTCTTTGGGTTTTATGAGTTACTACTAGGAAGGAAAGAGTGACTTATGTGATTTCTAATACAGATGCTTATATTATGATTCTTCTGATTTTCATGTCATATGTTTCACATGTTTCACTGACCAACAGTCACACTGTGTTTGAATAAAAATTGTTAAGAATAGTAGAACACAATGTTTGAATCATTACTTTGATGTAAATGTTTTATATTTTGGAAAATAAATACAAGTTTACATGCAAAAATATAATGGGAGGATTGGACGGCTATAGGGGAGGTCAGGAGGCCGTTTATGTGTTTGACGATTTTGGTCAGTGAAAAACATGAATTGGTCAGTGAAAAGTCAGGGAAAAGTCAGGGAATTTTATTTCACCAAAGTGCTGGCAACCCTGTTAATGCAATGCACAAGAACCATAACTCTATCGAAAGTAATTTCGAGTTATTGCCCTTTGTTACTTTTCCATTGCTTTTTTTTGTCCAGAGAATCAGTTGTTATCAAAATTCAATTTTCTTCTTATTTTTATGCACATGGTTTAAATTCATAGCTGTACATCAAAGGACAAGAAAGAAGGTCTTATTTTCAAAATTTAGGTCACCTGATATCAAAGTTAAATGTTACAACTAAAACCTATGCATATGGTCCAAAGTTCATGGCTGTACATTTCAAAGGACAAGAAGGTTATTGTCCCCTTGTGCAGGGCAAATTTTGACCCAAGGGTTTAATTCAGACTATTTTGATACAGGTCCACCACGCAATGTTTCATGTCAAATATCTAAACTGTAGCTTTCTCCTATTCAGGAAACATTTGTTTTAGTTTTTATAACCCCCAAAACGAAGTTTGGGGGGTATATAGGAGTCACCCGGTGGTTGGTTGGTCGGTCCAGCGGTCCATTGCGTTTTCCTTGTCAGGAGCATAACTTGAAGACTAATGGTTGGAATTCAATACAACTTCATACAATGATCAAGCACATTGAGAGGAAGTGCAGTGCACAAGAACCATAACTCTATCTATATTAATTACAGAGTTATTGCCCTTTGTTACTTTTCCATTGCTTTCTTTTGTCCGGAGCATAACTTGGAGACTAATGGTTGGAATTCAATACAACTTCATACAATGGTCAAGCACATTGAGAGGGAGTGCAGTGCACAAGAACTGTAACTTTATCTTGACTAATTAAAGAGTTATCCCTTTTGTTACTTTTCCTTGTCCAGAGCATAACTTGAAAACTACTGGTTGGAATTCAAAACAACTACAATGATCAAGCACATTGAGAGGGAGTGCAGTGCACAAGAACCGTAACTTTATCTTGACTAATTAAAGAGTTATCCCTTTTGTTACTTTTCTTGTCCAGAGCATAACTTGAAAACTACTGGTTGGAATTCAAAACAACTACAATGATCAAGCACATTGAGAGGAAGTGCAGTGCACAAGAACCATAACTTTATCTTGACTATGTACAGATTTATTGCCTTTTGTTACCTTTTCTTGTCCAGAGCATAAATTGGAATTCAAAACAACTTCATACATTGGCCTAATATTCATTCACAATATAAATATAGAGTAAAAACTTTTAAATCTGCTTTGAAAAAGGCTAGAGGTTAGATATTTGGCTGGAAACATTGTGTAGCGGACTTCTACCAAAATAGACTAAATTATACCTTAATTACATAGATCAGTGGACCTAATTTGTTCTAATTATAGCCATGGGGGGAAAAATTGGCCCTGTACCAAGGGGCATAGATTTTCCTTATATGTATATAGTTAAAACTTAATAATCTTGTCTGAAGGTACAAGTCTTATAGCTTTAAAGCTTAGATATTATTTATGTAATATCATCTGTAGGTCCTCTACCAAAGTTGTTCAAATTTTGCCCCTAATTGGCCCTGCCCCTGGGGGGTCATAGGTTTTCCGAATATGCATGTAAAATAAAATCTCCTCTGAATTGACAAAGGCTAGAGGTTAGATATTTGGCTTTATTGTGTAGTGGACCTCTACCAAAATAAACTAAATTATACCTTAATTACATTGATCACTTTGTAAGCACATGGCGTAATGTCATACAGTTGTATAAAAAAAACAACCTCGCCTACGGCAGTGTACAATACATTTATATATAGTCGAGACGGAACTTTATTGATAATACGTCAAGATTTTGACACTGGATTATCGGAATAAACGGTAGATGTAGTTACTACTTTGACATTAGGGCAGTGTGGCGATGATTCAATGTGGTAAAGATTAAAATATGATTCTCTTTTATTTCAGTGAGGAGAAGGAAGAGAAAGACACAGATAAGACACAAACTCCAGGAGAAAGAAAAAGTAAGAAAAAGAGGAATAGAAAAAAGAAGGCCAACAAGAAAAAACTAGCCAACAGTGTAGGCAGTCAAGATAGCAGTTTAGCTGAGCTAAATGTGAGTAAGGAGGTGAAAAAGAAGGCTACAGAGAGACTAGAAGTTATTGATGGTTATTTTGATGCACAGATAGAAAAGAAAACAAACAGGAATGGTGATAAAAACAAAAGTGAAAGTAAGTTTGGTAAAAGTGATTTAGAAATTGAAAAAGACGGTGTTGGAATAAAGGAGAGTGATAGTTATAGAAATTCTAAAAAAAGGAAAACCGAAGAAATAGATTCATTAGTAAATATGGATTCTGCCAGAAGTTCAAGAAAGAAAAAGAAGGGGAAAAAAGTGGAAGAAAAGGTTACAGTTAATGCTGACTTAGAAAAAGTTACCAGTGATGAAAAAGTTGAAAGTTGTGAAATGAAGGCTGAAAATCTGTATGAAAATGAAGGTAGTAACCGACCTGATGTTAAAAAGAAGAAAAAGAAGGATGGACAAAAAATAAAATTATCTGAGGAAAGACTCAAAGCTTATGGAATAAACCCAAAGAAGTATAAGTACATGAAAAAGGAAGAACTGTTCCAAATTCAGCCTAAAGTTAGGTAGTTGTCCACATAGGAAAAAGACGCATTTGGCCAAAAACAAATAAATGAATTACAGTCATCGCATGTGCAAGATGAATTTTTAGAAAATAAGAATTACTGTATTCGTAGAAAAGATTTTGGCCAAAAACAAATAAATGAATTACAGTCATCGCATGTGCAAGATGAATTTTTAGAAAATAAGAATTACTGTATTCGTAGAAAAGATTTTGCGCTTTTTAAGTTAGCACTTTTCTCGGTAGACATGGTATAACAGCTGTTATGTTGTTATAATAAAAAGCGATGTACAACAGACAAGGTCATGCATCATAAACGTAGCATCAAAAAACTAATTTAGGCCGTAGCAATTTAATTTTAGCAGTTACTACAAATCCGTGAAAGTTTGTCTCCACGAAAATGCCGACGTGAAAATCGCGAAATATTGTATCCCCGAATATTTCTAGGAATACAGTAATACCTAAATGCTCCTTATTCATGTTATAAAAATATATTGATTAATTGTTATATTGATGTTTTTTTGTAATTAAGTAAACAGTTTTTAAAATAGTATATGAAAAAAGATTTTATTTCATCAAGAATTGAATATCTTTGTGTAGTTCACTGTTACTATGTATACTGGTTCCAACACATAGATAATCTGAACACTAAGTTAATATTGTTTTGGCGTTTTCCATCCGAATTTCGTTTCCGTGCTAGTTCTCTGCAACTACTGGCTGGAATTCAACTGAACTTTATGGGAATCATCAATATCAGAAGGAGATGCACATATCCTCGCCTTGTTCCGGTCCGACCCTTGAACACAGAGTTATGGCCCTAAATTACAGATAATGCAAAAAGAGCAATAATCGTTTCCGCGTTTATTCTCTTCAACAACTTGCAGGTGTTCAACAAAACTTTATGGGAACCGTCAATACCAAGAGATGATGCATATCCTAACCATGTTCCGGTCTGACCCTTCAGCACAGAGTTATGGTCCTTGATTAGTTTTGCAGTATGCATATAGAGCAATAATCGTTTCCACGCTAGTTCTCTGCAACTACTGGCTTTATGGGAACTATCAATACCAAGATGAGATGTGCATATGGTAGCCTTGTTCCAGTCCGACCCTTCAACATAGAGTTATTGTCCTTGATTAGTTATGCAGTATGCATATTAAAAATGTAATGTGAAATAATCTTTTCCCTTGCTTTTCTCTAAAATTTAAAAACAACAAAAGTCCCAAGAGAGATCCAATTTTGCATCCTGTCCCCTTATCAATTTTTTAGGGCCCCAAAATTTTCGCAGATGAAAAAAGCATAATCTTTTCCACCTAGTTTCTCTGAACTAGGGCGGGAATTCAAAAAACTTAGGGGGCCCAATATACAAGGGGGATGCGCAATATATTGCCTTGTTCCAGTCTCACCCTTAAAACCAGAGTGGGGCCCTTGATTGATGCTTTTATATGGAAAGTTCTTTCCCCGGCTTTTTTCTCCCTTTATTTTGGGAAAATTAAACAAAACTCATGGGAACCTCAATCCGGTAATGAATATTGTTTGCCCCCATTTGCAGACAGCTTACCATTCCCAAGGAAAAATAGAAAAAAAGGTATAGCCTATTGGTGACTTCACATTTATTAAACCCCTTTCATTCATGTAGGTAATGGAGTTAAAAAAGCTGTTAAAAAAAGGCATATTAAAAAATTTTTAAAAAATTGTCTGTTTCCCCTATTTTTTAATTAAAAAAACAATAAACTAAAACCCTTTTTTTATAATTTTTGAAAAAAGGAAGATCTTTAACTTAAATTAAAAAAAGGTTTGTGTGAATAAATCATATTTTCAAATCATTACCTCATTTTAAATGAACTTTTTTAATGTATTTTTATAAAATTAAACTAATTACCACAAAAATTTATTACCCTTTTTAAAAAAATTTTAAAACCCCAAAACCCCTGTTTGTTCAGGGGTAATCTGATCAAAGGAAAAAATTTTCTAAAAAAATCAAATGAAAAAATTGGAAATTTAAAATCAAAATTTGTTGAAGTTGAAAAAATTTTAGGGGAACTCCCGTGACTTAGATTTTAATGGGAAAAAGGGAAAAGTGGTAAGGGTCATTCTTAGATTTACTGTATAAATGATAAACTAAATTGCTTCGGGTTAGGCAACCAAGAATGTCTATTCCATATATATTTATTGGTGGGCATGTAAAATCTAAGTCACTGGTAGTTCAATAAAAATTTAATCAATCTTCAACAAGTCTTTATTAATTTACCAATTTTATTGAACTACCGCATGACAAGATTTTCCATGAGATTTCAGAGCTAAGCAATAGTAGTTTATCATCTATTATTAGACAAAACAGTAAAAATGTAATTTACTATTTGTATTCAAACAATTGTAATTGAATAAAATCACAACTTGTAAACATCTATTCTATATATTTACTCTAGTTCAATATCTCACAAAAATAAGGGAGACAAATGTTATACATATATCTAATTCATAACATGTTGATTAACTCCCTTGAATGTGTAAAAGTAAAATTTACACAGGTCATAATTTAACCACCATTATTTCAATTAATTATGTGTACCGTTTAAAATCACATCTGAAAAAGATTGTTCAACAGTTTTGTTATAATATAGAGCAAATGGTTTTGCTGAACTCCAGCCAGCTGCTTTCATTATAAAACTTTTTAAACCCCCTTTATTTGCAGCGCTGATTCGTCGCAAACAACTATAACCCCCCAAATGTTTACATCAAACAGATGTTGCAATAGTTGTTTACCCGTCTGAAACTGGGGTTGTCCCCATTTTAAAAAGGTTTTTAAAGTTGAAAAAACAGTATATGGTTTTATGGTCTGCTTTTTTCAATCTGCCTTTTTAAACCAGGTTAAATTTTGCGCTTTTACCCCAAACCCTAGTATCCTAAACCCCCAAAAATGGGTTTATTAAAAAAATAAACAGGATTAAACCCTTTTTTATGATTTTAAAAATTTTAAAAAATTTGGGATTAAATTTACATGGGGATTGCTTCTAATTTTTTTCCCTTCCCCCAATATATCCCCCCCTATGGTTGTTTGAAAAAGTAAGGTTTAATTATATTTTTAATTATCCCAAACGTCTTAAACTGGGCATTGAAAACTTAACAAAATTTGGGATTGAAAAGTTCTTTCTTAAAGGAAACGAAAAGTAATTTTAAGAAAGGATTAAAAATTTTAAGCAATTGTTTAAGGTATGGTTAAAATATCCTACTTTCAAATGTATTGTTTTGATAAAAAATATAAAGTTCCTAAACGAGGTAATAAATAAAAAAAATAGGTTTTTGAGGGAAAAGCAGAAAATATCCGTAGAATAAAGTTTTCAAAACCTCGGGGAAACTTTCCCCCCGGTGATACGGGTTTCGACACAAACTTCTGTTTTATTGAACAGAAGAGGGGGTTATGGGAATCGGCAATCCATTTCATGAAATGTCAGACATAAAACTGAGAAAAATTTGATATGAAAAAATAATTTTAGCTGCTATACTGTTCCTTTGGTCATTTGATGCCAGCACTATTAAGTGTTGAGAATTGAAGTACCGCTCAAGCCGGTGCTAGGGGGCGTGAGGGGAATGTTGCACTTATTCATTGTCCCTCATGTACAGACTCAATCAAACCGAGTCTGCAATTCTTATGTAATTTTGTTGTGAATTAATGCTTCCCCGAGGGATCACTTGTTTTCCAGAATTGTATGTACAAAATAATCAGCAAAATTAATAAATAAATACTTTTAACTTTTATTTCTCACATAAAAATATAACCTGGCTGGTTAAGCTCCCGAGGAATCGCCCTTTCTCCAGATCTTTATACATCTTAACAGCAGGCAGCAAAGTGCCATGTGGCAGCTGTAAAATGGTTCACTTCAGTGTTGCTGATTCTGGTTCTTGGGGATCATTGACTCGAGCACTTGAAAGTGTTAAACAAATTCGAGTACCTCTCGCTTATATGTCATCCCAAGTTTTGGTTTTGTTAAATACAACTGTTTTATTATCTGTGTGCTACTAATTTAATATTTCCGCCCCTTTAGTTTCTGTTAAAAAAATGTTATGATGTATTTTTTTATTGCTGTTTTATCTAAGTATCAATTGTTATTGTATTTTGTCTTTGTTTGGTGAAAATGGTTTTTTCCCAAAATAAATTTTCTTTTTTTTTCCCCTTTTTTTAAATCCTAGCGCATAGTGCCCAGGTTTTCACTATGGTCGAAAAAATATAACATTATTACAGGGCCTGGTGTAAAATTTTCATGTATGTACGTGATTTGTACAGCAAATTCGTTTCTCTTTTTTGTTATGTTGTTTTTTTTAATCGTTCTCTTTTCCAAAAATTTTTATATAAATTTTAAAAAACCGATGAGTATAGTTATGTTTTTTTTTTTTTAATTTTGGGGTGTATACGAAAATGTTAAACAAAGAATGCTAGGGAAACAAATTTCCCTTTTTCATGATTCGTAAAAGTAAATAAAAATGGGGTTTTTTGTAATAATTGTTTTCTAGCAAAAAAGAAAAATGTAACATAAAATTTTTCCCTTAAAATATGTTAATTGTTTTTAAATAAATTTTGTTATAAAAATTTAATTGTTGTTAAAACCCGATAATCTATATAATGTACTCAAATCTCAGTTAACCTGCGTCATACCCATTTTTAACCCAAACCATGAAAATTTACGATACAAAAGTTTTAACCGGAATTTTATTTCTCTAATTCTGGATGTCGATGGTTTTGTAATTGTTTGGTTTAACTGTTCACGCTTTAACTGTCCCTTGTCATCTACTTATGAAATGGGGGGGGGGGGGAACATTTTTTAGATGGGTGCACACTTGAACAATAAAATGTGTGTCTCAAACAATAGAATGGGTGACACACGTGTGTCACGAATAACAATAGAAAGCTTAGCACACAAATGTTTTAATCCCGCCAAAATAAAATGGATGCCTTATTAGATTGAAATAAAAAATGGCGCACTGTTTCTCCATAACAAAAGAAAACGAACATAGTATGTTCTTATATTGAAATCGTTTGTTCGTTACAGTGATGAACTACAACTGTAATATCTAATCTGTCGGTTAAAACTACCAATATTGCACATGTGTAACGCTATTGTTTACACTGAAATATCTCAAAGGTAATGCTAAGTCGTTAGAACTTCTATCGAGTCTTATAGTCTAAGGAAAATTTCCTTTAAATGCAACGGTTTAATCTCTATGTTAAACTACCACTATTGCACATGTGTAACGCTATTTTTTACACTGAAATATCTCAAAGGTAATGCTGAGTCGTTAGAACTTCTATCTTTTACCGCTAACACATAGTATGTTCTTATATTGAAATCGTTTGTTCGTTACAGTGATGAACTACAACTGTAATATCTAATCTGTCGGTTAAACTACCACTATTGCACATGTGTAAAGCTATTGTTTACACTGAAATATCTCAAAGGTAATGCTGAGTCGTTAGAACTTCTATCGAGTCTTACAGTCTTAGTTAACATTTCCTTTAAATGCAACGGTTTAAAACTACCACTATTGTACATGTGTAACGCTATTGTTTACACTGAAATATCTCAAAGGTAATGCTGAGTCGTTAGAACTTCTATCGAGTCTTATAGTCTAAATAAACATTTCCTTTAAATGCAACGGTTTAATCTCTATGTTAAACTACCACTCTTGCACATGTGTAACGCTATTGTTAACACTGAAATATCTATAAGGGAATGCTAAGTCGTTAGAACTTCTATCGAGTCTTATAGTCTAAGTAAAAATTTCCTTTAAATGCAACGGTTTAATCTCTATGTTAAACTACCGCTCTTGCACATGTGTAACGCTATTGTTTACACTGAAATATCTCAAAGGTAATGCTAAGTCGTTAGAACTTCTATCGAGACTTATAGTCTAAGTAAAAATTTCCTTTAAATGCAACGCTTTAATCTCTATGTTAAACTACCACTATTGCACATGTGTAACGCTATTGTTTACACTGAAATATCTCAAAGGTAATGCTAAGTCGTTAGAACTTCTATCGAGTCTTATAGTCTAAGTAAACA